TCAGAGACTAAAATCGTAGGCAATATCCCCATTATCAATATATGCTGAGCTCTTTAGTCTTTCCAGGGACTGTGTTCATTTTTCAATACACTGTGAAGATTTTAATGAGCTAAAGTGTTTTTGCCCAAAATTCTGGGGCTGGTGGCACGAGTTCCAGAACAGACGCTGACATTTTACATGTAGACGGCCTCAACGAAGGAGCGCTTGATTAAACAGGGAATTTAAGAGATTTTAGAAAATTCCATTTTTACCTCCAAAATACCAAATATTTGCTTTATTTTCACTAGTAGCCTAGTGTCTTTTTGTTTCACTATTTCTAAATGTTATAGAGACCTTTAAAATCACTAAAATGTAGACTCTTACACATATGTAAAATGTTATCATCTTTCTCTAAATACATACATGATTATAATGAACAAATATAAAATTTAGGAATTTGAAAATAATGAACAGATTTTAACTGGCAGATAGGGACTTATGATCAAAGGGCCAGTTCATACAGCTGCAAGTTTATGTAGGTGTGGCAGAGTTTAAACAAAAACAGCTTTTTTCTTTGAAAACAAAAGCTATCACTTCTCAGACTCTAGTTAACGTCTTAATTGTAGGGACAGAAAAACCAGGTGAGTACCTCAAGAATCAGGAGACTGGGTTCCAAGTTGGTGTTCTGTTCCATGGCAGCCCGACACTCCTGCCTTTGTCTGCTTTCATTATTGTTCAGTCCCAACTTAGCGACTCTAGAAGGCGATTTACTCATGCCACTGTAACTTTTACTATTATTTTTCTTTACAATATTTCATGATGGACAAGCATATCAGAGGCTGGTGAAATATCAAAAATGTGTCTGATGACAGAAAACTGATGAACTGTTTCTAAATATCAAGTTTAGTGTAGGGGAACAATGTTCAATTCACACCTACAACTGTAATTAAAAGAAGTTCCTGTAAGAGACATTGGGATGTAGATCAGTGATAAATACATTAAATAAAAGAGATCTGAAATTACATTATATATGATGAATTTAAGGTTAAAATTTAATTGATGCTTTTAGCTAAATAATAATATATAGTTTAAAGTATATTTGTTCATTGATTTGGGCTATTTACTGAGGGCATCTCTTACCCACACTGTCCAGGAAGTCAGGAGGACTCTGTGTACATAAAAGACAATCTGTCTTCCCATTTGGAGCTCATAAGCCATCAGAGGAAGACACTGGCCCCTCCCACCCAAAGAAAGACACTGGCTGTTTCTTATCAAATCTTAGTTAAACCTTATAGGAACAGAGAGGAATGACCATTAAAGTTGGGCTTTATCTTTTGGGGTCCTAATTAGTCACAAAATTTTTAAACCTTCTCTGATTTGAAAAGTTTTAGTTTTGCTTAGGTTGAACTATTGATACTTTGAGTTAGCTTTTTGCTAACTCAAAAGATTTCCCTCAAGATCATAAAATTTTTTCTTCCTCTATTTTTTAGAAGACATTTTCTTCCAAGTGTTTTTAAAGTTTCCTTTTCATACTTAAAAATTCTATACTTTAGGAACTGACTTCAAACATGGTGTGAGGTAGGGACTCTATTTCTTTAACCCCACCATACATAAATATTTGTCACACAGGGACCCATTTAATAGCACATTTTTCCCTGCTAGGTATGAAAGAGCCTCCATCACATACCATGATTCCATGCCTGTGAAGAATTAGTTCTGAACTTTACACCCATTGTTTTTAGTCTATTTGTCCATCCCTAAGATTCTAACTTTCATTACATAAACTACATAGCATTTATCACGTTATTTGTGATAATCAGGATGCTTTTTTTGTCTTGTTTGCAAATTGTTAAAAATCAGTAGCTATGACTCATTCATATTTTTCTGTCACATGTATATATTTGGTGTGTACACGTAGGTATACTTGGTTACATGTATTGAAGCACCTGTGTGAGTGTGAATACATAGAGGGTGGCCCCTGAAGTAGACATTAATGGTCTTTGTCAATCATTTTCCACTTTACTTATTGAGGAAAAAAAAATCTCCCACTGAACCCAGAGCTCACCAATTCTGGCTAATCTAGACAGCCAGCTTATCCTGGGGATCCCTCATCCCTATCTCTTAAATTCTGGGATTACAAGTAACTACTGGTTATACCTGGTTGGTTTTCATGTGGGTATCCAACTATGGTCGTCATGCTTGCACGACAAGTGCTTTTATCCAATGAGCCATCTCCCCAGCCCCATTCATCTTTTTATTTCTCACAGCATCTAAATAGGTATTTCTAGATCACAGGATCCTCTGCTAAAGAAGGGATTAGCTCAGCAACAATGCTGTAGAAGCAGAGCCACAGATACATCCCACTTATGAGTTATTCTCTAAGCAGACTTCATGTGTGTATTATTGCAATCTTCTTACTTTCTGGTACTCTTAATGCTATGGCAGCTGGGACCTTGCACATTAGAGAGGAACTGTTTCTTAACTGTAAAAATACTAAACTCCTCACCAGAGAAAGTATGGCTTTTTTCATACATGAATGAATCAATGTAAGCTTGCTCAAGTCCATCTACCCTTGCCTTTCCTACTCCAGGACCAGGTCCCGGGCAACTAGACAGCCTCATGCTCTAGAGTTCACAGAGGTCACTGACAGCAGTTCGCTCACCCTGCCTTGCCTTGCTTTCCCCATGGAAAAGACAGCAGAGATTGTTCTCCATATTTTCTTTCTCTGCCTCTTGATTGTACCTGGAAGATTCCCTCTATGGCTCTTATGTCCAGAGACAAGTGAAATAAACCTTTCTCCTAATTACCATCATTTTATTTACATGCATTAATATAACTGATTAAGCATAGCCCAAGTATATTTTAGAACAACAAATAATAATAAAATGAGCCATTGTTTTCTGTAACATGAAATGATTTAAACAGCAAGCAAATATGAAAGTAACCTATTAGCTGGGCCCTGATTTCATTCTAAGCAACTGATGGTGCGCAGGTGAGAAACAACACTTTCTGTTGGTTTCCTGCAGTGCTGGTGATCAGTTCCAAGGCCTCACACATGCTAGGCAAGTGCTACCACTGAGCCATACGCCCAAGCCCCATCAGATGACTTTCTGTATTCTAAAAACCCGGCTAACAAGAGTTTCCTTTTTTCCCATTTATGCAGAAATTGTTCCCTTAAGAACAGAAAGTTAAGTTCAGAACCGTGATAATCCTTAAGCCTCCTCATATTACAGTTTGTCCTTTCCACAGCTGACAGGATGAACTCTTGAACTGTGTGTACTGATTCTCCATGTTAGTATTTCAAAGAACAAAGTATTTGGAGGAGTTAATCGCAGCATGGTGCATCATACAGAGTTACACAGCTCACTACCCTAAGCAGTCAGATGCAAACTCTGAAATGGGATCAAGACTAATCTTTCCCAAGGACAGACAAAAGAGGCACTCATCCAATTTTCTTTCCTTTCAATAAAAATAATTACATCTGGTTCATCTTTAAGAACATTCAAGTGAGATTCATCACTAGATCCATAGTACCATCATGGTGACGTTTCATCTATACTAGACCTACACAAGCTGTTTACTTCATAAATGCATTAACAATTCTCCAGTAATTCAAAGGGCTTTACAACAGTTATCTTAGCTATAATTCAGTGGGGAGGTTAGGGACGGCACAGCATTGGAGGCCAGTTCCACCTCAGGCACTTACTAGTATTTTCTAGTCAGGTGGCATGATTTCTCTGGGTCTTACAAAACAGAAACAGAGAGATTTAGTTTGTTTGCCATATAAAATTAGAATTCTTAAATCCTATATAAGTTCACAGTATTGGCAGAATTTTACCAATACCATTTATGCTCATTGTATGGCATCTTAAGGTTGTAATACAAAGGATTTCCAAAAATAACAGACACTATAGCTAACTTAGGTTTTATAACACAATGAAAATTAAAGTTTACTTGATTAAAAATCATTCAAAATAAAACTTTAGCCTTTATTTTTACTTTTGAGTGATTTTTAGCATTTAAAATGGGCTTTTATTTCTTATACTTCCTGACTCAAATCCTAAATGCTGGGATTACAGTGATGCCACCATAACCAGTGAGAATTATTAGATCACTTAATTATTTAGGTATATGCGGTGTGGGTGGTGCGTGTATATGTGTGGGAATATAGGTGCCTTGTGCATGCGTGAAGAAGCCAGAAGTTGGGTGTCTTCCTATATCAATCTCTACTTTAGTATTTAAAACTGGGCCTCTTGTTGAGTGAAAAGCTTGCCTTTTCTGCTAGACTGGCTGGCTAGTGAGTTCCCAGGGTCCGCCTGTCTCTGCCTGCAATGCTGAAGTTAAAGGTTTGCACAGTTATACTCAGATTTTGCTTTTGTGTTTCAGTTAATAACTTCTTTATTCAGGAAAAGCAAATCAAGATCATACTCATATAAACACTGACATTACAGTTCCATGAATAATAATAGCTATTATTATTTTAGTGGGGCTAACATTACAGGATGCTGGAAGAAGATGATGGGTTTGAGTAGAACTGGGATCTCACTGATGTGGATGCTCTTCTAGACTGAGTCGTAGCAGGCCACTGTTGTTCATTTTATAATTATGACCCGTTATCACACACATATATATATCAAAATTTTACATTATGTGTATCAAATATTTTATAATAATTAAAAATTCAATAATAAGACAGCCAATCCTCTTGTTCTACAAGTATGGCACATATAAGCTAAAATAGTATTATTTTCTGTCTCCAAAGACCTTGGGATGGGTACCATCACTTCTTAGCATAGAAGACATTAGTCATAAGCAAGGCAGGCTTTCTCTCACATTTGTCTGATTTCAAAATTCATTCCATTCAAGACTTTAAGAATTCACAAGCAATATGACCAGAGCTGCAACTCCAGTGTGGTTGAAAGTGGCATCCCCATTGCACTGTGCTAAGGGGTTCAGGAGTCCGAGGCAGGGAACTCTGGCACCTCCTATTTGCAGCAGTAATCCTTCTCACACACAATTACCTGTTAAGTTTGAAGCATCAGTAGGACTCAGTTGTAACCAGTGGCGGGCATCAGAGTCTGGCACAACATCTGTGGGAGTGTGGAGTTCTGGGTCCTCGTCACAAGTCTGCCATGGGCTCATGGGTAGCTCTGTCTCATTGTTGGAGCCCAAAGCTGTGTCGCTACCAGTACTTTCACCTGGCACACAGAGCAACCAAAGTTTGAGACTGCAGCTAGATGAAGATAAGGTTCAAAATTATCTCCATGTAAGTAACAACGCTTGCACAGCTGACAGGCTCTGCTCAGAGGTTTGGGCAGAACCTGAAGAACTTGGTTGGGGTTCAGTAATGTCCCCATTGGACACTTATTAATAATAATATATCTTCCAAGGACTGGGCATTAAAAGGCTTCATAACGTAGCAATCTTATCAATGTCTTTGTTCAACTATTCCTTGTGTTTCAAAGTTACACCAAGTCCCAGGTCCTATCAGGATCCACCCACAACATGAGGAGATAGAGAAACAGGAGGAATATGGTGGATAACTGACTTCACAGCATCGCAAATTTACTCTGCTATTGCAAACCCAATGCTTAGACTTAAGCCCAGGCTGAATCATGCTGGCAGATTCTGGAACGAGGTGTCCTTCTACTGCATATCTGCAGCACTGGAAACTTTATCCTTTAAACATTAGAAGTGCTAATTTGTCACAAGGTAATCATGCAGAGATTTAAAGACTTAAGTAGTTATCTATTTAATTATGCACAAGACAATCTAGACTGTTCTGCTGCTTGACAGCAGAGCTGCTTGCCTGACAGTTCTACTCCCTAACAAGGCTGACAGCCCCTTAGCTGCACTGTCTCTACTGCTGTTCTCCATCTATTTGCAAAGAACTGAGAATTGTCTTAATAAGCAGATGATCCATCTGCTGGGTCTCACAGCACATCCTCCCCAGAGCTACAGGCAACAGAGAGGAAGGCAGTGTGTGAGAAGAGCTGCAGCACACCACCGAGGGCCAGCCGGGTGTGAAGCCCACCATCGAGGGCCAGCTGGGTGTGAGGCACACCACCGAGGGCCAGCTGGGTGTGTAGCACACCACCATCAAGGGCCTGCCAGGTGTGAAGCACACCAGGTGGGTGTGCAGGGGTTCCCACTTTGCCACACTGACAAGGAGGAAACCTGGCCTCTAAGTACAGAAGAACAGAGCACGGGGTCCAGACTTCATACATATGATAACATCTCGGGATTCCAGGCAGATTTTTATTGTTACATACTTGCCCAATGACTTCAATGTATCTCTGAAGCTTTGTATTTCTTCCCTGTGGAGACGCTGTGGGAAAGGTAGCTTTTATTTATGGGTCTGTCTGCTCCTCTAAGTCTCTCTTGTTCTTATCTGGGGAAAGGCCCAGGGATGGAGAGACACGCCTCTCGGGTATAGATAATAGGCTGAAACTGTTCTACTGACCAAATTAACTGTGTGACTTTTAAGTTCCTGGATCAAAAATATTCTCCACAACCACCCCTTCCTTACTGACGAGACAACCACTTCATTAGAAAAGAAGAGACCACAGCAGGCCCGCTCTGCACTAGGCATGAGCAGGCCCCGTTTCCTGGAACTTACTCTTTAGTCTCTCCCTGCATCTTCCTTGTGTCTGCTGTAAATCATCCTTCAGATCCAGCTCAGCAGGACTGCTGCTCCTTCGAACCAAGATCTTCAGACAAAAAGAAATGCTGCTTTTATTACTGGAAAGGTGAAACTTTTACCCGACTCTTAAGTTCCTAGCCTATTTTTAAATAAAAGAAGCAATAATAGTAACGAAACACTGAACAATGTTTTCCTTTTGAAGAATGCATTCACAAGCTAGAATAATTAAGTTATGGGTTTCTCAAGATCTGAAACACCAATTCATATTTTCTACTGACACAGCTGAATGGATATACCAAGAAGGAATGCCAAATCCTGTGGAAGTGGTTTATTTTGAAGTTCTATTTGCTTCTCTAGTCAAGTGCACACACAGTCCCAAAATTCTGCAGGAGGCCTGAGCTCCCTGTGAATGTGTAGGCAGGAAAAGCACATACTCCACCCAGACTTCCAAAGGGCTGCTCAGAACCTTCCTAGTTAATATACTACAGAATTTTCTGAGCACTGGTAAACAGTGGGCCTTATGTTAAACACAAAGGATTAAGAAAGAATAGGAGGCAACCTGCATCTTCTAGCAACTTACACTTTTCTTGGAGGAACAAAACATACACAAACTATACAAAATAAAATAATCACGTTTATAAGTAAAATAGGCAAATAAAATCTGTGAAAAGTATGTAAAATAAAGTGTTACCTTAATCAGCTGACAGTTACAGGAGAGTGGTTCAAGAAGGCAACAGACATGAAGTGGTAGAGGGAAGGCAGGAGGGAACTCAAAGCAGGAAGTACGGACTGGTAACCAGCAAGTTCTATGTGCAGGAAAGGGAGCTGATTATAGCAGGCCATGCAGAACAGCCAGGAGGAGAAGGAAAGAGAGGAGAAACGCAGACTTTGTTAAAGAAGCAGTGGCCAGAGAGCCTGTAACATGAGGTTTAGAACTCTGGACCTAACACTGACGGCATGAGCAACTGTACATTATGGACAGTAGCTAAGTGTACTTAACCCATAACCAGAAGGACGCTCCCAGCCTTGTGCTGAGGTGGGTGCTGGAAGAGAGGACTGCTAATGGAACTGCCAGAGCAGCAAATGAGGAGGGAAGGGAGGAAAGAGAAGAATGCTGCAGTGGAGGACTGGAGCTTTCCACAAGCGTATGAGCCAAAGAAGGCTGTCACGGAACCATGAGAATGTCAGTGACAAATGAAGGCAGAGAGAAAAGTAAAAAAGATGAATGTTGAGAATTTTTTATGTCTTTAGGCTGAATAGTAAAAGACAATATTCATTAAGTGGCGGGGGGTGGGGGCGGGGAGCCAGAATGAAAGGACAGAGAAGAAAGTCAGGAATGAGATACAAATTCAAGCTTCAGGATATACAACAAAAACATACAATCCCAAAGTCCTGAGATTCAGGAGTCATTTAAAGCAATTAAATAGAAAGGGAGAAAATGTATAATTATAGTTACTTGTCTATGAAGAAGCAAATCATGAATAAAATATTTACAAAACTCACGGTATATAAAAATTACTACAAGCCTCAATAAACAGTGATTTATATCAAATGACCCAAATAAAAATAGGCTCATCTTTCCTTAACTACCAAGTAGAATGTTTTTGCTTCCAATGTTGGGGAGACAAGATACCTTCCAAGTGAAGAAACTCATCACACTTCATTTGCACTGGGGCTCACAGGAAGCAGACCTTCAGGATCCCTATGCTGTCCTCTTGTGAGAACAGAGTGAACAGAGCTCAGGGAAATCCAATGGCGTATTGTAAAGTGAGTGCTATCATTGCTAGTGACAAAGGACTGAGAAGCAGGATCACAGTGGCACTGCCTGATCCCTTGAAGTTGAAAATACAAATGCTGCCCAGAAGAGTCCTCATGAGTTAGACACTCTGGTTTCCCACAGATGCCATCAGCCACAAGGGTAACTCACAAGAATCAGCAAACAACTCGGGAACAAACCACTTTAAGAGCAGCAAAAAACTCCAGACAGAATTAGACTCCAGAGGATTGCAGCAAATCAGATAGAGAATGTGGAATTAGGATTTGTAAGCATTTTAAAGGTGTAAAAAATGAAAATAATAAAAATGGCCAAATAACAAGATATATTTAAAAGAATACATTTGAACTTAAAAGCAAAAGTACACTTGTGAGGTAAAAATCATAACAAAACACCACCTAAACAGAGCCTTGAGAGCCCAAATCTCCTCCCAAGTATAGAAACAGATGCACAGGAAACTCTGCTTGCATTCTGAAACTCACAGGAAGTACCTCCAAGGCTATCTCCTAATGTCAGATTGACTGAACTAGTGAAAGACAGAAGATGATTTATTGGTGAAACAACCCAGAATATGTCCATAGGGCCAAGGAGAATGGATAATATGAAAGAAACTTAGGAGACATGGAGGGCAGGATAAGCAAGTCTGGTATTATTTCTACCTACAATTCTAGAACAAGAGAAGATTGAATCAAAGTGTGACTATTTGAAGGAATTATTACAATATTTCTCCAAAAGAACAGAAGAAAAGTAACCGCAGATACACAGACACAGCAGATACCAGAATGGACAAATGCATATGCCAAATTAAATCTATACCTAGCAGTCAAACTTAAAGACAAGGATAAAGACCAGCAAGAAACAACTAAACAGGATGAAGAGAAGGCATCTCAACAGTACCAAGGAAAGACAAAGAGTCCTAGTAAGAAAAACTAACTTCCATTAGAAGAGACAAGAGAGGAAGAGAAGAAAGCAGAACTGTGGTCGTTATGATATTGTGGTTCTGTTCAGAGACAAAACACCTGAGGAGCAAAATCAAGGCTGATATGTTCAGGAAACAGCATATATGACAGAGATGTGGTCTTTCAGATAAATAAAGGAAAAACAGATTCAATAAATAAGACTTCAGGCTAGACGGTGGTGGCACACGCCTTTAATCCCAGCAGTTGGGAGGCAGAGGCAGGTGGATATCTGTGAATTCAAGGTCAGCCTGGTCTACAAAGTTATTTCCAGGACAGCTAGGGCTGTTACACAGAGAAACTCTTTCTCAAAAAAAAAAACAAACAAAAATAAATAATAGATAAATAGAGAAATGAGACCTCTAACAAGCAGTTGACAGAGGGGTTGGATCATCCCTCCTTCATAATCAAGAGCCACTTCCAGGTGAATAAAAGACTTGAAAGTGTCGAGCAAAAGTGAAGCATTTTATAGAATAAAAATAAGGGAATACTTTATCCTTTTGTAGCTGGAATGCTTTAATCCATAAAATTCTACCATAATAAAGAATATAAAAAAAGAAGGATTTGTATTTACCAAAGACACCAGAGTGAAAAACAGCCACACACAGGGAAGATGTCTGTTACAAACATAATCAAAATAAAATCAGTAGTCAGTCACTATTCAGACTATACAAAGAACTAATACAAGTAAAAGAAAAAAAAGTAAATGGCAAAAAGCCATCAACTGGCATTTCACAGATGAAATATAAATAATCAACATGAAAACTTTAAACCTTATTGATAATCTAAGAAATTCAAATAAGGTATCCCATTTCCATGTAGTTGACCTGCAAAAATTTCAAAAGTCTGACAATAGAAAGTGCTGGTGAGACTGATTAAATTGCTGGTAGAGACAAAAGGGCTACAAGCATTTGGGAAAGGAGCATTATCTTGTAGAGAAGAACAATCTTTGTATAATTTATTTGTCTACGGCTAGACAGTCACACAGAGCAACATTTGAACATGGAGAGATATTGAGAAAAGTCTGAAAAAGTCCACGGCTATATCATTCAGAAAACTAAAATACTGCAAAGAATCTAAATGCCTATCAACAGAAGAATGGAAAAAAAGTGATATAATCAAAGTGGAATATCACACAGCCGAGAACACTCAGATGACTTAAGTACTACATAGTACCACGTGGATATTCTGCAAACACACAAATGAGTGAACAAGACAATAGTATCCACAGAGATTTCAGAAACTTCAGAAACTAAGTAATAAATTATTTGGAGCCACATACATGTGAATGTATGTAAAACACAGCCAACACCATGCCACTGTGAAGGAAGGCAAAAGCAAAGGACTAAAAAGCCAAACAAAACTAGTGGCCAACGCAACAGAACCAGAACTGTTCTGGCGCTTGGGCAGGAATGGGTTCACCTGAATCTGCTTCATTATGAAAAGCAAGATCTATACAGAAAAGCTGACGCATGTCTTTCTGAAACACAAAAGCACAGGAACTCAACTCTGCTATCTTCCAAAGAGGTGGGAGCAGGGAAGGAACTCGATTTTTTCTATATCTATGCTTTCTATAAATAAATACTAGGTTTTAAAACATAAACAGAGGTTTATCTGAAAGAATGAGTTATGGGCCATTTCTCCTTAATGTTTTATATATATATATTTTTAAAAAATAAAAATCTTTAGGAATACTGTGTCAGGTAGGGAATCTTAAATGAAGAATTTACAGGCAAATACACCTGCTCCAAGTGAACTATACGACATGAGACCAGCCAGTAAATTCTATTTTATGCTAACTTCCCCCATTTTTGTAGAATGACTGTACTTTACACAGAAAGCAAGTACAACCTTAAGTGACTTCAAGATTATTTGGACCTTTAATCAATCTAAATAGAAAAATATTAAAACTATCAGCAATAAATTCATTATTGTGGTATAATTTATGCTTGGTTATAACAAGAGAGAGATTTTCTCTAGGAAATCTTACTGTTATTCCTTCATGTTCTCGTTTCACATGTTCTTTACTCTCTTGAAGAGATCTGGGTTCTGAAGAGCTCAAATTCTGTGAATTTTCTACCTTTGGACCTAGAGATGGGGTAAAAGTGATAAAATTAATGTTTCAGAAGGTAAAATAGGAGACAGACAGACAGACAGACAGCAGGCAGGCAGGCTGCAGAGGCAGAAACAGATAGATAAACCATGCATCTAGATGTCATAGATTACACACATGAATTATGGGTCTTCAGCATCTACAGGCCCAATCTACAGAGACCTGGTCTATAGCCCATAGACAGCTTCAGCTGGAGCAAATGGAACAATGTTCACTGTGGTTCACAGGGCCACTTAGTCTGCTATGCTGGACAGGGGCATATGACACATCACTCTGGGGAGGTGGGCTTGGGGACAGCATCTGACAAAACATCTGCCTGGGTTGGCCTGTGAAGCAACAGGAAGGGAACAACAGGACAGCTCTGGGATGCCTGAATAGAAAGACAAGCACAAGAAAGCAGAAACAGGTTCAACAATTTAAAAGGGGATACTGCCACAGAGTCAGCAAAGATTTAAGAAAAGATCATAAAAGCATCTGGAGAACAATCTGCAGCCAATAAATTTGAAAGAAATTAACAAATAGAACCAGTTTCTAGAGAAACATCAAAATCAAATTCAGAAAATCAAAGTAGTATTATAGTCCTTTAATTTAAATTTTTACTTGGCAAATAATGCATGTTTATCTTATATAACATGCTGTTTTAAAATCTACATACATAAAACATCATAAGTAGCATATGTACCACAACACACACCCCACATGGGCAGAGTACTTGTCTCCTCTTGGCCAGGCATAGTGGTACATGCCAGTAAGCTAGCTCCCAGAGACCAGGGAGTGTACTGCAAGTTCCAGGCCAGCCGGGGCTAATGGAGACCCTGTTAGAAAACAAGCAATGCTTTCTGAGTTCTTCAGCAAGGAAGCACACTGTACTGTGTACTGGACCCCTGGAGCTTTTCTTCTCTCAAGTGAAGTTTGTTAAAATCTGAAAGGATTTAAAAACCTTTATACACGAAAACCTCAAGCAACTGGTGTATTCTCCCAAATATTTAAAGGATATTTTTTTTCTTTGTTTCTCCTAGTAGTCCTAAGAATTAAACTCATGGCCTCCTATATGCTAGACAAGTATTCTACCACAAAGTATCCAGCCCTAATAAACCACACAAAAGCCTTTAAGGAGTAGAAAATTTTCAGATAATATATTTTCTCAATTTTATATTTTGCTATAATTTCTTATTTCAAGGGGTTTTCTAAGGAAAAGTTTCCCTCCTCATTTGCTGACCCTGATATTAAAAGACACAGGATAACCTGTTGACAAACAAGGCAGGAAGTTTTCTGACTGATTCATGGAACTACAGTGACTGACCTATGGAACTAAAGGCAGCACATTTACTGATGCTGTACACACTGAAGAGTGTTTTTTCGCTATATGATACACTACTCTCTGTCTACAGCTTCAGTAACAACTGAATCCATCCTCACCTTCCACACCCTGATGCTGTGGAAAGCCAGACCGACCCAATGCATGCTCTGGGTTTTTTCTGACCTCAGTGAAGCCTGCAAGCTGCTAATAAACTTTCACACAGTTGGTCAGCCTTCGTGCCCACTTCAACCCTTCAGCTCTTCCCAATGCCTGACCCTCACTGCCTCTCGTGCTTCCTACTGCGAAGTTTCTTCACTTTGGGAACTCTCTGTTCCTCCTACTCCAGCCACTTCTGACTCCTCTCTAGTTTCCAGTCATGTCAAACTTGAGGAGTGTGTATCAGATAAATATGTGAAATAGGAAAAGAGTTTCACTTCTAGAAGTCACATTCTTACAGTCAAATGAAAAAGTGAATGCCTAGACTGGGGAGATGTCTCAATGGCAAAGTGCCTGCTGTGCAAGCATAAGGTCCTGAGCTTAGATTCCCAGGCCATGTGAGAAGCTGGGTGAGGCAGCATGGGGCTGCAACCTGGGGCCGAGCAGAGGGAGCTAAGAGGCTCCTCAGAGCTCACAGGTAAGCTTTCACACTAGTGAAAAGGTCTGCTTCAAAATAAAGAAATAAGTAAGTTGAAAGCCATCAAGGAAAGATAGTTCAGGTTAACCTCTGGCCTCCAGACATATGCACATATGTACACACCCACACTAACAACACATACATAACATGCAAGACCCCTTCTTCCTTGAAGGAGACATTTAAATAAATGTAATAAGCAACATTACCTGCAGCTTACCCTATCCCAAGCCCACGTCTATAGCTTTTCACTAGTAACTGAGGACTCAGCCAGCACCAGGGTAATTACTCCTGATACTTGGGAGGCAGAGGTAGGAGAAAACTTGCAAGTTTGAGGCTGGCCTCATCAACAAACTGAGTTCCAGGCCTTCTAGG